AACTTTATATGCGGCGCCCGTGTGAGTTCCGCGTTTTTGGCCGCTGAGTTTTCCTCGTCGCCGTGTTTTTCTTCTTGTGCTCTTGCGCCTTGCTCTGTGTCCCCGACTTTGGCGCCGGCCGTGGCCTTCGACCCCCTGCGGTGAGGTTCTCTCTTTTGGCGTCGGTCCGGTGCTTTTGCTCCTTCTTGCCCTCTTGCGTTCGTTGGCCGTTCTGTTTTATCTGTCTTTGCTTTGTATTTCTCCCTGGCTCCTCCGCCTTCTTATTGTCTCTGGTCCGTTTGTGGAGGCTTTTCGCTTCTTCGTGGGTTCTTTGGGGGTGTTGGTCGCGTTGCTGCTGCCCCGTCGATGCCTCTTCGTGGGGTGCCTCCTTCGGCGGTCACGAAAGCTTGTTGGTGGTGGCTGCCACTGTGCATCGGATGGAACCCCCGTAGCGTCTTAGCGTGCTTTTACCTCGAACTTAAGCCGTCTTGCGCTGCCAGGAACTGCCACACTCTGAGGGTGCCCTTAACCGAAGAAGGTTCAAGTGTGAGCTGCTCCAGAGCCGCTTGGCAGGTCGCCTAGTGGTGGTTATTGCTGTGAGGATGGATGTAGAAGCAGCCGACCCTAGTTTCAGCATCACGCCTGGGATCTTTGCCGAGAGCGAGCTTTGCTCAGTTGAAAGGTGGTGGCTGCGTTTCACCGGAGTCTTCGCAGAGTGCTAGACGTCTTGGGAGCGAGGAGCCTCTCCGCCGTTGGTCGCGGATTATGGCCTTACGTCCAGCTTGTTGAAGCTTTCTCTGTGGTAATCGTTCTTCCTTGAATGCTGGGATATCTAGTACGCTGCCGCAAGAGGCCAAGTGAATACTAGGTAGTGTAACCTATGACTTCTTTCAAGCCGTACGCGTCCCTCGGCCCTATTGGGAGAAGGAATATCGACGAGCTGTCCGAGCAGATGTTCGCGCCGGGGGCCGCTTTCAGGCGTCAGGTCGCGGTCTTTCGCTTCGCGAGTTGGGCGTCTTCTCACCCGGGATGCCGCGGTAACTGTAGAGGCCTGTCGTGTGTCGCCAATCGTTCAGAATTCGCAAAGATATGTAGTAGCCTTATTATTCCGCAATTTGTATTATTTAATGCATAGCTATTCCGTTGTTTACTATCTTAATATAGCTTATTTACTCTTCATATAGACTATCTCTTCAGATTAGTCAGACGCTCCTAGCAGCGATACTGCTCTCATCTCGTGCCTAGGAATCTGGTAATATTTGTTTTTATGTGGTGAGACGGCTTGGTATTTTTGTTTTCTGTAGGACAATGTGGTCTGTGATCTAATAGCTTTACACTTAGAGGCGACATTAGCTTTATAGAGCAGGCTTTTCTAAGTCGGCCTTTTTTACTAACCACAATCACATATGTGTTCCGTAAGGGGCCGGAGATGCTCAACGTGTGATTTGATACGGCGCGCCGGTACACGCGAATTCCTCCAAACTGCTCTTAGTAGTCATCGCGCGACAAAGAGACGGTTCATTTCCTTGCTTGCGCCATCACTCCCATGATTTTATCTGATCGCAGGAGTCTGCTGAGTATTCCTACATCCTGCCGCCAGCCATTGTTCCAAGATTGTTTTGTGATCCACTTGCCTTTTGCGGTTCTCCGAGGCCGGTGGTCACTCGTGGCATTCTTGGCATGTCTTCTTTTGAATAAACTATGGAGCCTGGAAATCAAAAGCTGGATACGTGTGGGTCTTCTATCCTCGTTTCTCGTGGGAGTTCTCTTTCGTTGAATTCGCGTTACTGAGCAGTTATCTCAACTTTATCTGCTATGGCCGTTGTGGCTCTTTTGTTTTAGACGGTCCGCGCCTTTGTTGCGCCGGCTTGCTTGGCCTCCGTGCTTCTCGCTTGTTGCGCACGTCGGCCGGCTTTGCGCTGTGTTGTCTTCTGCCAGCATCTTTTGCCGCCCTGCTGTCGTGCCTTCTCTTGTGTGCCCCTTCTTTCTTTGGCGTCACGTTCTTGCCTTTGAGCGCGTTCCTTCTTTCGGTAACCCCTCGCTTCTCGGTAAACTTTTCTGCGTACACATGGCTAGGGATCCTTGTGGATCTCTTTAGTACTCTTTACATCTGGACAATTGGATTGTCGGCGAATCCTTCGTTTAGTCTTCGGCTTGCGCACACACCGCTTAGTTTGTGCGCCCTTCGCAGTCCCCTGAATATTATTTCGTCATTCCATCGTTTTAGTTAAACTCTGTTAACGTGTGTTCCGTGTTATCCTGTTTCCGGCCTGTTTGTGCGGATGCTTTCTATTTGAGACGCATTCATGATGTGCTACTCGTGACTACTTCAATTTGACTCTCGTACTGTGCCGGGGGTCGCTCATAACTACCCGCTCCGCTGCTGGTTGGGCCGTCGCCGCCCGGGTGCGGGTGCTCTTTTGGCGCCCTCTCCCGCTCCCCCTTTCCCCTCCGCTGGCCCCTGGACCGTCCAATTCAGGATTTAATAGGGCGGGCAAGTTAAAGAGGAATCAACAAATGTCCCGATAACACAAACACTCTCTTATACATTTGGCAGGTCTGTGGAGGTAAGATGTTCCTCGACTGAGTTCTGGAAGAATGTTGTTGTGTGAATTATCTCTCCTTATGCCATGCTACTAATACGTCATCTGTTTTGTTTGGCCCGTACCCACGTTATTTCGGCAACCTGCCCTGTCTGCTCCTCGACTGCCTCGGTCCGTCGATGCTCGTTCAGTTTCAAGAGAGACCGTGACCGTGTGTAGAATGTACAGCTAGGTTGTTTGATCCACGCGCAGTTAGTGAAGCATTTCCGGGTCTTCTAGCTGTATCCCGTTCAAAATCTGAAAGGTAGAGAGATATTCTTCGTGCGCCCCTCTCGCCTTTGGCGGTATTCTCCTCCGGGTTTGAGGTTTTGTGCGTACGCGCCGTATTTGAATTGCTTCGGCTCGTGCTCTTGTTGTTAAACACCATACATAGACTGTACTCAAACGCTGAGGTTGAGGAGATGGCGTCTGAATACTTCTCGGGCTGGCTATCGTTTTTGGCCTTTTTCCCCTCCCTTTTCATTTCTTCTCCTGGTCTTCAGCTTTCCTTTGTCGCGGCGTTTTCGAGCTCTATTGACGTAAGAGCAGGTTCAATGGCAAACGTGTCGCGTCCGTCACAGACATTTCGCTACAAGAAAGCATCCTATTTACACTCCTACTATGGTGCCCTGCCATCTGAATTAGTCCTACATAAAATGATCAATCATAGAAGGAGGTGAAGCATGGATAAGCCTCAGTTATGTCCACTGTAGACCTGGCAGAACACTCTTATTTTCTAGCCTCGCAAGCATACTGTACTGTGATTCAGCTTGAGTGCCTTTTCCGTGCAGCGGGAATGCAGTCTGGTCCAACAGGTTCACAAGTGGTATAGTGGCATTCTGGAGTATCCTTCTTTTAAGCGATTGATCCTGTCCGACAGGATTCTTGCTATCTTTTCCATTGTTTTCCGCTTTCTAGTTGTTTTCTTCTGCCCGTTTTAAAAAATTCTGAGTATTTTTTTCATCTCAGCGAGCCCAGGTCTAAGTATTTGTTCTACATGCTCTTTACATATTGAATTTTCACTAGAGCTCCTATATGGAAAACTGAATCTTTTCAAAACTGAGTTGTTCTTTTCCCGTTATGGCTGGTGTTTTTTCTGTAAGGTTCATAGTATGACCTGCGGCACTAGCTTTTCGTTGTAGCGCGCCTTTCGAGCGCATTCAATAAATAAATGAATAAATAAAGAATACCAAGTTTTGACTTAGCCTACCATTTTCTGCTACTATTAAATCCAGAACCAGTCAAATCATGTTAATCGGAACATTCAAAGAAACTACGGAATGAAAAATTGCTATAGCTAAGACCTTATGATTTTAACGACTGGAGGGAGTGGGAGGGGTATTAATTAGCCACGTATATGCAAATAGGCTTTTGAAATTTGTGAGTTGGTCCAGTCGCTAGAAAAATTCATAGCGCAGCTCCTGATCCAGGGCGCCAAGCAAGCTTTATTCCTGTATGTGGTAGATGGTATAAAACTGAGACGATTCCCAATCAAGTGTCGTGAATCAATGGAGACTTACGCGTCGCAAACCAATATGAAACAGGGCTAAAGATGGGAGCGTCAGCCGCAAATTAGCTGAAAACAGAGCTGAGCAGTGTGAGTCCCTCTTCCTCGCAATCCCTTATTGTACCGCGTCCCCCTCTTCACCTCCCCCCCCCTTCCCCCCTCTCGATGGTCGCCGTGGGAATTGGTACTGCTCACACACTTTCAACTCAGGCACTTCGCCACAAAATATCCACAGCTCCATCCGTCGAGGGAGGGTTGAGTCAACGAGTACGTCGCGCCAATTTTGAGGTTTTTATGACCCTCCATCACTAAAGAGGCGGGATTGGTACAATGACAAGTAGCACGCTTACCACGCGCGTGGTCCGGCAATCGAATCGTGAGTCGTGCTCCGTCCGAGCCAACCAAGCCTTGCATCCCTACGGGGTCGGTTAATTGGTACCAGACTTGTCTAGGAGGATAAAAACACTGACTTGTACATTGGCTGGTCCCCGCATGTCATTGTGTAGGCCACATCGCATTCAAACGCCACTACGAATGTAAAAATGGGAGTAGAATGCGTGTCGCAATCCCAAGTCGGGAATGACCTACGGCAAAAGCCTTGTCCTTTTTTATTTATCCATTACTGAAAGAGGTATCCCACACACACAACCCTCAATGATCGATTTGCCATCGCTCGAGCTGCTCCAACTCTATTACCACAGTCCTTTAAAATTGACACCGATAGGAATGGGATAGATACAGCTTCTGAAACTGCATATTTTCCTTCACATCAACATTTTTCTTCCATCATGGCTCTCGCGCTTAGGAATCCTAAGTTAATACAATTGCGACCCATTTGATGGGAAAGTCCCAATGGACGGTTGACCCCAGTAGGAGAGGGGGAGGGCGTGAGGGAGCGGGCATGGAGAAGGATAACTGAAAGATATTCAACTTCAAAATTTCTGTGTAAGATGTACTTTGGAGATTCTTTGAGAGAAAACAGAGTTGTCTGAGATTACCTTCTTGGTAGGCAGATCACATTTGTTTCCCACAACAACGATTGGCAACGTCGATATATCAGGACGTCGCTCGCATATCTCTTGCCAGAGGTCCGACATCTAAACGATAATTTATTAGAAAAGAGCTGAAAGACATTTCATTCTTACAAAAAGTTCTGTTCACATTCCTCTTTGCAAATTATTATTACTATATGTATCTTACATATGCATATTATATTGTCATTAATTTATTATTTATATTTATTAGTACCATTACCTAGAGACAACAGGCTTCCTTGAATTCAGTGGTTGGGTCAGAGAGGGGTCAAGCTCGGGACTATACAGTCTCAATTCGTCAATCCTGCAGCTACCTGAGATGCACCTAATTGCGTAGATCATGCGATCAAAATATAAAATTCTGCTATTGAGATGCTGTTCCTTCAGAAACCCTGGCCACATTCACCTTGATAGTCATCATATGGTGAAGATGCTTTTTCAGAAAGAATAAATCGGTTCCGGGATAGAAAACTGGAATTTTTCAATGTATTTTCTGGGAGGGTATACACAGAATGAAGGACTTCGTTCCGGCCGCGACCATGCTGGGTCAGATCTTCTTCTAGAAGCCCTAAAGATGGAGTTAAAGATGACAAGACATCACAGACCAATGCAGAGATGGCCAATGTTGCGGGGACTAAAAAAAACTTAGAAAAACGGCCTAGAACTGGATCTGGAAATGAAACTCTTCTTGCCCGCTGATACACGCAAAGGAGCGAGTTCCATAGGTGTTGACGCCACCAGTGCGAACGCTCTGCTGTCTCTGCGAGGGCCGTGGAGTCCACGGCTAGAGTCCGATGGTGAGAAGTTAACCACTAGGCGGACGGACAGGGCTCGGGTGCTGCTTTCCAAGGCCTCTAGGGGCATACCCTCGTCGCAGAGCGTGCCTCGTCCTGCACTCTTAGGAGGCCCGCTAGCCTTTCGGCTAGATATGCTTCCCCTATTCGACCTCCGATCTTGTCGTAGAGTGCTCCATTGGAACCTCTACTGTAAAAACCAATTTCATATAAGAAGGACTTCGTTATTCAGCTACTGATCCCTATCTATTACGTAAATATGTAGGACGGAGGACGTTGTTCAAGATATTTTTTAACAATAATTTTTTTCGAGAGTCTGGTGTTTTTGAAATTGATTAATAATCAGTAAAGGAATGCTGCGCCATACATATAGCCCAACAATTCAGCTCTGTCTGCTTCAGCGATGCTCTAAAATAAGACACTTATTGGTCTTGGGTCATTGTCGTAAAGTGCAATTGGTCGGATGAATTCATCTACATAGGTATATTTGTTGTACTGCTCTACTCGTCATGCATTTCAAAGCTGCTTGATAGCCTTTTATAGGTGGCGCCAAGGTCTTGCTGCAGGGAGGCAGTCAGGTTGGCTTTTGCCCGTGTCCAAAATGTGAGACCCCTAATTATCGATTACATCACAGGGGGTTCAAAAAATTCTGTGGACCACACTAGGACTTGTGTCTGGCTATGAAAATCGACATAGTGAGGAGTTTGCATGGACACAAAACAAAACTTCAGGATAAATGTTTTGTTAACTCTCTCTCGAAGTTATTTAATTGGGCAGGAATAGAAATCGAGATCTCGCCACCGTGCCCCGTAACGCCGAAGCTTATCCAGATGAAGCGGACCGCGCGAGTTGCGTGGCACTGAACTGAGGCGTGATCAAATGTCTCTGCCATGCCTTTCTTGCGCTGCCTTTTTTTTTGGAGAATTAAAGTTTTGTGGGGCGTTTATTTGGCCATTGGCCCTGGCAGATAGTAGACAAGGAACTATAGAGCTGTACGTGCAAGGTTTCCATTGTACAGCAATACGCTTGCGAAAAGCCCACGCCATTCGAAAAAAACCGCCTTTTTAGTAGAATTTATCTTGCGTCTAATCTTGAATCTGCTCTCTTGAAAAAAGTCCAAGTAACTAACTCGAGTGGCTTCCAAACAGCCCACTCACGCGTGTGCGACCTTTTACGAGTGTCTCGCTCGATTTTCGCCATCCAAAAATTCATTCTTCATTTGGCAAGTCCGACAGTGAGCCAGGGGAAGCTAATCAGTTTCTGAAATATGACCTAATATCCTAAGTGTTATTGTACCGTATATCTTTCGAACGTCTCCAATTTCTCCATCTGTGGTGGTGTTCCAAATTAAAAATAGGGTTGAATTGCTTATGCGACATAGAAAGCCTTCGCCCTGATATCGCCCCCTCAACAACGCTGCTAGATGTTAACGTTGCCAGACGCCTTTTAGGGCAGTTCAATTTGAGGAGTATAGTTTAAGGATAACCTGATTGTTAACTTCACGTAATTTCGCAGACGCAGTGTGGACAATTTTGTGTTCATGCTTCCTCATTAATTTTGCCCCCTGTAATATATTCATACCGATTAAAGTAAATTTTTTTTCAATCATAGAAAACTTGCGACAGGTGACTGAAGTATGTGAGGGACAAATGTAGTGGAAGCCTCTGGTACACACTAAAGGAAATAAAAATGGAACAACTCGGAAAAACGTGGATATGATCGCGCGCGCACGCGGTCCTCATAATTTTGGCCCAGCCTGTATAATTCATCCGATTGAAGTAATTTTTCTAAAGAAAAAATTGGACAGGGACGAGGTAGTGGAGCAATGAGTGAAGCTGCTCTCCGCACGCTCGGTACAGAGTATGAATTTGGACTTGAATGTCTCCCATTCCTTTGGGTATCCTACTAGTTGGTATCAGCTTCATATAGGTGACAAAAACATTGGGTTGCATGCCGACTGGTCGCTGAAATCATCCTGTAGGCCAAACTGAGATGTCTAAGAATGAAAGTACGATGACGGTTCATCCAAAAATGAGAGCAATTATGCTTCTTCCTTTCTAAATCAATTCTTGGAACTCGAAATGCAGATTGTGTAAGGAGATGGACATGCTGCCAAGAGATTGAACTTCGCTTCTTGGAAATGAGATATAATAGAATTCAAGTTCACTAATAGTTGTAAAGGTCATTTGAAATTCAAATTACCTCTTTGAAACTGGGCACGTCATCGACAGCGAACACCAGGAGAAAAGCACTGGCTGAAGCTATCGAAAGCTTACGCATATCCGGAAAGTTGAAATTTGTGTCGAGTATGTCCAGTGGTAATGGAACACCCTGAAACACATGAATTTCTAAATATGATTAATCGATAGGTTTATACTTTTATGAGTTGACTGAATCTGCCCCTGCTTCAAGACAGAACCTTGGCTAATCTCTTAATCTAGAAATCAGGATATTCATCAGGATAAATAGAGTACCGAGGAACTCTAGTGAAGGCAAAACGTATTTTCAACAAGAACTTCTGCTCTAGAAATAGGTTTCAGCAGAATATTCTGATAGAAGTTGAAAGTTTTTCATAATTGTTTTCCGAAATCAGCACAAATTTCAAATCTCGGAAATATTTTGCATTCTGAGTTGATTTTTGAATCATCAATACATTTACCATTATTATTGAAAAAAAACCGAGACATTCACTAATACGCAACGAATTAGCGCCCCTCCCTCATAACGACTCAGAGCTCTTTTGTCCCCACACCGTTCTAAAAAATCTTTCACCATATTAATGTGTGCTTTTCCAAAGTTCCGAGAGCTAGTCGAACTGCAACTGGAAAGGTGGGTTTTCAGATGAATTTGGAACCTGAGCGAAAGCCAGTCCTCATACTACTGCAGTTTGGAGTGATATTTATTTAGCTACACAATCATATAATGAACTAAATAAGGAGCTGAGCTTTCTGGCTGAGAGTCCCATTAACACGGGTGGAAATTCCAAAGTTATCAACACTTTCTCTGTTTTTCAAAAGTTTGCTTGATTTTTTTGTGTTTCAAAGAATAAACCAGATTTTTCAGTTGAAAAGAAAGAAGAAAGAAAGATTTCTTGGCCATATACGATGAATCTCGTTTCATACTACGTAGTGATTGAAAGCGGTTGAATAGGATGGTATTTAATGCGCACGAAAACGATTGTATCTTATGGATAAGTGGCCCATCAGTAATGAGAGACGCCAAAAATGCCTTGGACTATTAACTTTAACAACATTACCCCGGCAACGCATGACACATCGTCACGCACTTTGCAGCCATAACGGCAGCGCGGGACCTATGGTCCTGCGACCAATAAATTCATTCTTCCTTCCCCAAAGCGCACTCGCCATTCTTTTCTTAGTTTTTCGTCCTTATCATTTGAAAAACCTTTGGTAATAGCTACCAAAAGTGTTCACAAATGCTCACACCGCATGTCATGATCAGACCGAAGTTTCCGATTACCCTTACAATGCATCTTACTTATCTAATCTCTCTCACTTATTTTTTCTTTCATTAATGTGCACATTAAAAAGTGAAGAAGTAAATGCTGCATACAGGATTACAAATGTATGTTTCTGATCGAGATCAAATCAATTCAAACAAACTTCTTATAGCATTTCATTGTAGCTAGGTTTGGTCTAATTTGCTTTCTCAATTTGTTTTTTACTTCTTTTGATGGAATGCCTCTACTGTCCGGCCGCTCCGTATCTTCTGCACGCTGGAATTAATTTTTTTGATCCCAGTACCATTTGTTTTGATGCATCCTATAAACCAAATTCCGCCTTGATACCTTGGGCCGGGTTGCGCTCGCGACATAATGCCCGCGGTCCCTGATGCGGCTAAAAAACCCAAAACCGCCGTTACGTTATCTTCTCCCTTCCTTCTTCAATAACGTCCGTTAAATCGACCCATTTGCCGCGTCATACCTATAGAGCGACTTCTCGTACGGTAAAGGAACCTCTGTCAATTGCTTAGCACTTCTGTTCTGGTAAAGTTATGTGCAACCTGGTAACAAGATGGGATCCTCACTAATTATGAATTTCATGGACACAGGCAAACTCCGCCCATTTCTTAGCACGTTCGTTTCCTGCCATCATTGTCGAGTCACCATAAATTTCTTTTCAACGTCGGACTACTCACAACCGATACTGCTCAGTCGCGAATTTAAACAAAAGTATACATTTCATGTGGGATTCAAATACCTGTTGGGACACAGTGCGGGATACGAAGATTGTGGAACTCAGAGCATTACCCCACGTGTTTTAACTGCTGAAGAACCTACACATTAACGCACTCTCCGATAAGCGATATTTTTTGGGGAGGAGGGGGGTATTCACTATCGCAATGTCACCATCATACGATACGCACATTTAAACCATTAGGTCAAGGGGCACAATCAATATATCGATTCCCGTGACTGTTCAAGCACAATGAGTCAAACGCTGCGACAAAGCTGCGGGCTTTTATAGAGAATTATGCCGATAATTTTGTAAGTAAAACTTACAAGTCCACAGTAGATAATTACCTGAATTCTAAACTGCCTCGAATGAAGATCCTCGATGGTTTCCTTGTACTTTTCAGAGAATTCATTGTAGAGGTACCGCCGTATCAAATTCGTTTTTCCAACTTTGGCTGAGCCAAGTACGACGAGCCGATACCGTTCTTCGCTCATCTGTACAATAATGGGTACGGTATACGGATACATAGTTTTATAAGCGGCGATGTGACGAGACGAATAAGCTCAGACAATGTAAACAATAGTAACCGAGATTAGTCAGATGAATGAATGATGAGGCGGACCGAATGCAAATCAAAGCCTACCCCCAGCCTCGTGAAGGCAATTGCTGAGATGTGGCAAAACCAAGGCACGCCAACAATGCACTCGTTTTACTGTTGCGTGTTACTTGTTATGGCAGTAAAAGTTCAGACCAGTGGCCCTAAATCGGAAACAATAAGCGAGGGCATCCCGCGAACGAGCCGTACACTAACAACTGCTCGAAATGTTACATATGGATTAGCTATTAGCTAGGACTCCATGAAGGCATGTGATAATAAAGGAATGCTGCCAGATAACTGAGGATATCCTAGGATAACTTAGGATTGCTAGTGGTTTTTTCAATTGGAAATATTTCTTTGAAGTTGGAAAGGGAGCACTGAATCCTCCGATTGTCAAAGGCCCACGCCGCTAAAAAGCTACAAAATAGCTCTTTTCCCGTGAACACTGCTGTACCGTACATCAGCTATTTGTATCAAACCATAGCTGTCGGAAGCTTCATCCTAATAATGGGGGATTTTGCTGCTAGAGACTTAGGACACTTTC